GGACAGTTTGTGTTTTTACAATCCAGAAGAGTTCTTACATTGTTGAGTTGAAGTTTTATTTTCTGAAATTTTCTGCATTAAATGAACCACTGTTAGCCAAAATAATCTAACCAGCTTGCTTTGAGACAGACAATGTTTGATGCACCTTTTCTAGCACCTTCCCAATAATTAGGGTGAGCAGTGCTCTCCCTAAATAGGGGGCTACTCAGACACAGAAAACTCCACCTAAATCAGATTCTGTCCATGAAAATCTCCTGCTGCCTATATGCAGATTCTCTTCAGCAGGAAACGATATGAAAAACTTTGAGAAATTTATGACAGGAGAAATTTTGCTTGAAAGCATGAATATGGCTTTGCCTGATCGACTGTTCTTCATGGCCAAGCAGTATCGTGTACTGGGTTAAACAATAGCTCCTTCTGGCCTGAGGGAGGCAGGTTCAATTCCTGCTGAGAAGTGCAAATTTTTGTTTTAGAAGATTTCTTGAACATTCAAGTCAGTAGGTGAAAATAAATAAATATACTGTTTCATAAATAAATGGAAGAGTGCTTACTCAAATACAAGTATCCACTAAAAATAGCATTTAATGTGATATATATGTATGTATGTATGTATGTATGTAGAGCTTTTAACTTTAAAAATTAGGAGATCAGTTGATTCTGCTACCTCGGTTTTAACCTTACAGTATTATCAGGCAGTTTTTATCAATTGAGCTCCCAATGCTTTATTTTTAAAAAACGAAAACAATGAATGTTATATTATTTTTAAAAATAAATGAACAAATGCATGGTGTTGGGTGTGATAGAAAGGGAGGAGAAGGACGTGAAGAAGAAGAAGCGGTGCAGGAGAAAAGCAAGGGTATTACAAATGTATCGGTTGGGGGTTAATAGTAATGTACATACTTTTTTAACCAGCCTCATATGAGATGAATTTTCTTGAAAGAATTCAATGTTTTATGACTTCAGATCTCTGGTTCAAAAATCACCTGAAGATACCGTAAAGTTGAAACCAAGGTAGCGAGTATGCACTTCTGGTACAATAATCTTTGTTGCACATACCTGTTCACCTATGGTTTATACACCAACTATACTGGGCAGACCATAGTTATATTTTCTGGAAAAGAGAGTGCATAATTTGCTGTGATCAACACGTCAGAACAAGTCCTATTATGCTAAAACACTCAACCATGATGACTTGTGACTTTATACTAGCACAACTATCAATAGTTTCCCCAACAGTTCTGGCTTAAGGCTTAGATCAACTTGTACTACTGTTTCTGGGCATTTTCTAATTGCTCTGCATGGATCATATATCCAGTTCAATATTATCTGGAGGTCACCCAACCTTGACAAATTTACCATAGTGAGATTCAAACCCAGTTCTTATGATGTGAATGCTAACATACTAACAAATTACACACACACACACACACACCGTGTGTGTGTGTTTCATTTGTTTTATGGCATATCAACCTCAATGGGTTATTTAATGCCAACAAAATTTTCATTGTTGGTAATATTTTTTTTCAAAAAATCTATTTCTGGTAATATATTTTCCTTCAAAAATCTATATCTGGTAAGAATTTTCCTTCACTGGTAATTTTTTTTTAAAAATGTATAGCTGGTAATGTTTTTTTTCCAAAATGTATTGCTGGTAATAGTTTTTTTTTTTACAAATTATTTCTGGTATTAAAACCTATTTTTACACTTTCATAGCGTTTTGACCCATTATTATTGTTAATTATTTGTCCATAGCTGAGACCCTAACAGGTGCTACCACCCTGGATCAGGGTAGATCTGGGAACACCAGCAATTAAGAGGTGGTTCCATGCTCCTCAAAACCACCTGATCAGAGGCCTTGCTGTTGGACGTAGTTTATCGTCTTACGCAGGAAGTGGATGTAGTTTATCGTCATACCCAGGACCGGTGTGTGTGTATATATATATATATATATATATATATATATATATATATACACACATGCAGTTATCTATATATAAGTGTTTGTCTATGTTGGATGGCCAAATAGTCAAAGATTCATAGAAAGGAACATACAAAAATACTTGTTAATATTTTTCTCTACATATTTACATATACACACATACTTCTGTATATATTTCTGGTGCATTTTTGCCCATAGTTTCTTTGGTGTATCTTTTATGGGGTAAACAGATGTAGGATTTGTAAATTAGTTTCCGTTTTCATTTACTCTTGCTAGGACCTCTGCCAACCTCAACTAAATACTTTCCTTTCTTTTTCAACACAGAGTTTAAATGCACTGACATCAACTTCCCTCCCTCATCTCATAAACACATCCAGACATATTGAAAACAATCAGTTTAGCTTCAATGCAGGTGCATATGTCAGTAGCTTGTCCTCTGCTACATTCAAAGCTGAGAAAGCATTTGGCATTAAAATGCTGGTTTTTCAAGATTGTTTTAATGCTGTCATGCACATTTTGTCCGCATAAATTAAACACACATTTTGTATTTGCATATATTGCTAATGATATGCCACTGCTTGCCAGTAAAAGAATTCAGAAATTAATCTAAACAATTCTCTTGTCTTTTATGTTATTTTTCCTTAAGTTTAAAAAAAATATTGTTAACTACCAGAGGTACCCGACATTACTCAGGAACTAATTTTGTCTAGATAAAAAAAAAACAAACAGACCTTCATTTTATTTGTATAGATTATTAAAATGACTAAGGGAAGTAACTACATATAAATTTATAATCAAAATTTGATTTCCTTCTCTTATTTCTACATGGTAATAAATGTTTAACGTCCATGAAAAATAGTTTCTCTGACCTTTTTTTGATCATTCACGACCTTCAAGGTTAACCTAGATTCATTTTATATAACCTATTACACTACCTGGGTCATAGTCTATCTATATGCAAAGTTTGCTTGAAATCCCTCCAGTAGTTTCTGAGTTTATAGCAGACAGACAGACACTTTATTTGTATATAGATGAGTTTCCATAATCTGTAAAAGATTTGAAACTTTGTTTTCACCTTCAATTTTCAATATGTATAATTAATAGTTTATTGTAAAGAATAGAAACGTTCTAAAAATTGAGAAATAAGTAAATATCAGCCATCTTTTAGAAATGTGTTTATTTGTTCTTTTCAGTCACTTTACTGTAAATTATAAGAAAAATTTAAAGAAAAGAAAATTTAAATCTGAGATCACCAATCTTTACTCGGCTGCCTTTCCATGGAACTATGATTGGCAGGCCATATTATAGTAATTTTGATCTTCATTGAATGTCACAACTTATACCTGTGTCTGTGAGCTCAAGAAATTATAATCAAGGCTCTTAATGAAGTAAGAAATTCCTCTTACTAAACAAGACTCAACCTAATAAAAAGTAATAGTAACTACTGAAAGTTTTAAATGTTAACAAGTTTTAAAGATTGAAAAATCTCATTAAAAATTCATATTTTAACTCTTTTACTGTCATATATGACTTTAGTTGAATTTCATAATTGGTTTTGCAGCAAAGTAGATATATTAACATTATTGTTCATTGATGTGCAAGAAGTGATTCATATATTCAATTCTTTAGATATTCTGTTAAAGGTACTTTAACTCTGTTGTTAATATTAAGTACTATTAAATATTGACAAATTTTAGGCAGTTTGTTGTTGGTACTTAACATTACAATTATATCTTTTCATAGGATCAAAAGTAGTACATGTGTGAAACTCAACAATGAAAGATTAGTTCAAAAACTGAATTGTTTGTATCCTGACAGCATTTGAGATTGAACCCAAGAGTTTGTGGTCATTAAACAATATCTACATAAAAATTAACTATTAATGGAGAGACAAATGAGCATAATTTTTAGTTCAACATACAAGGTGGTACTGAAAAGTTCTTGGTCTGACTGACTTCCCAAAATCTGACCAAAAATCTTGTTTGGCATGACGACTTTTCAACACCTCATATACCTCCTATAAAAATGACCAATTTACTCTAGGTAATTCAAAATCCAAATGAAAACAAAGGGAGTGTGAATTCTTGGTATTGAAATTCTGCTATTCCTTCTTTCACATTTACATTCTCATATACAGCAGGCAGCCCAATATTTCAACTGTGATTCATTCAGTATGCAAGATCTTAACCATAAAATCCAAACCAAGTTTAGAGATTTATCCCAAAAGTTGTCTTTGAAGTTTAGCCAAGTTCCATTGTTACTGAATCCTTTTCCAACTGCACACAGAGATAAGGTTCTGAGTTTTGTTATATTAAAAAACAATATGAAACACAATAATTACATTGTTATTTATCTGGAAGCACAACTCAAAACAGACTGCAAAAGGAACTTAGCTAAATATGATTAGTCTCTCTTTATTACGTCATTTTATCTTTCATTCTCCTTTTTCTTGCTCAGATTATTTTCACATTTTACAACTGTTAAGCAAGCAGCATAGATCGGATATAAAGAATAAAAATCCAATGAGAGTAGTCAAAAAAATTAATAACGACCATTCTCGATTTAAGGAATGAAAATTTATGAGTCTTATTGCATCTAAAACAGTTGTTGTTAAAATGATGTCTCTCAACAGAAAGACATTACAGAATTACATTATGGTGTTGATTGCAAGACTCAAGTATGCCTAAAGCTGGAATAAACTATTCTAATCAAAACCAATTTATATTGTTTTTTCATAATGCCACTGCACAAAGAGAAACCTAATAGCTATGTGAAAAAATACAAGCATTGAACTGACACAAATTCTTTTTGTTCCCCTTTTAAGAGTCCTGCAGTCAATCAAGAAAGAAAACTTCAATGACTAACCAATATCAATTCATATTGGCATGCACTTAGAAATCACAGAAATCAAAACTTACATTGAATACTACAAAAATACTGAAAAATACTACAAATACTGAAAAATGCAAGAACATACACAGGAATTCAGAGTTACAAGAATATCTTGTATTTGGTGCAATTGTTCTATTAGAAGATTACTTTGAAGACAATGTTCAATTACCTCAATACCAATGAGTGTTGGTCGAATGTATAAGGTATCATTCTTGGAGTATGGAACCCATTCTTTGTCCAAAGATATTAGTTTCTTCATGCAAATTATCAGTTCTTGTCCATCAAAAGTCTGAAATAAAAAATAAAGTCAACATTTTAAGAAGTGTAATATTTTTTTTTAACGTTTTTTATAAACTGAATAATAAAAGGTTACCAATAACTTCAGCTTCCTAATTTTGTTAAAAAGTTTTTTTTTGCAAAATAAGCACTTCCTCACCTTACTGAAGTTTTAACACTATGTTGTAATAATTGGAGAAAAACAACAATTTTTTTAGAACAAATTGAAGTTATTATATACAGCAAGACATGGAGAAATTTTTTGGTACATTTTTGCAGTTTATTAACTGAAGTATAAAGTAAATCAATATTTTAATAGCAGAAGAGAATAATTACTGTTTTAAATGATGGATTGCTTGTATGAAAACTTAATTTTAAAAGATGAAAATGGTTATCATTAGCTTTCAGGATTTTATGAAAGTTTTAAAAATATTTCTTCTCACATGTCTCACCATTCTTCTCTCTGCTTGGCTGTCATTTGAAATCTTACATTTTGTAATAACTCTGAACATACAGACAAACCTCTCACCTACAAACCCTCCGGCCCATCAACAGACTTCAGATGCAACAGACAAAATCTGCAGGCAAATAAAAAAAAATCTGCAGAAAAAAAAAACTCCCAAATCATCAGTGATGTATTTAAAAATTTACGGGCTTAACGGAATTGGTTGTATTAGTTTTCAAAGTGACTGCTTGGCGGCATTGGTGGAACTTTCAATTGCAAACAAAGGTAGAAAATACGATACATTAGCACGTGCATGAGAAAGTAGCTGTGAGAAATTCATTATTTTTGTTATTTTGATTAATATATCAATATTAACTATATATTTATTTATGCAATAAATACATGCTTATAGTATTTACATTATGAGCATAACTACTGGTAGTTACTATAGTGGTTTTCTAACCCCAAAATAATCCCTTCCCATCTATGGACAGTTGACTTTAATGGACCACCCTTCCCTATCTATTAGTTCATTGATGAGAGGTTTGTTTGTACTTTGAATATTGCAGCCACAACTAGTCTGGGGTTCCCGCTATATATTTAGAGATTCTTGGTAAAATACAAAGAAGAATCTGCATTTTGGCTTCAGTTACTTTCCCACTGCTACAATGTAGCTTCCCTGTGCCTTTTCTATAAATATTTCCATGGTAATTATTCTGATGAATTCTCATTTATAGTACCTAGACTTTATGAATTTAAACTCAATAACAGATTGGTAGCAAGGTCTCATCACTTTACAGTTGAAATGGCTAAATGTAACCAGTTTCTTTTCTCACACTTCTTACTTGTGAAACCTTCCTCCAGCCTCTTGCTTCCTAGTCAACTTTGATCCTCAAAAATTAAATGCAATGTTAATCATTATCTACTGTCGTCTTAATTTCTGTTCTTTCTCCTCAATAGTGTTTTATTTTTTTTTTTTCATATTTTTTCACACCCTGTAACCACTTGTGTATTAGTGGCTTTATTGGGTGTGAAATGATTAAAAAAAATTGACTCTAGGAAAAACAATATGAAATTGTTGATAGTTAAATGCTACTTTTGACTGATATATTCCAACCATGTTGTAAAATTTTGGCCTTGGGCACCTTATTCATTGTCAGTGAATGAAATAGATAATTCTTCCACCTAAACATTTTAATAGATTTGTAGGTGGTAAGCTAACTTGTAACAATAAAGCTGATGTGTTTCAAAGGATTATAGGAAACATTACAGTTACTATCTGCATAAGCAGATATAAACAACTGTATTAAAAAAAACATAAGGTAATTCTTTGGGACTATTGGAATGCAATAACAACAAAGAATAAATTGCTAGACTGATGTTAAGGGTGATCATTCTTTGAACAAGAAATCAGTGAAAAGGATATGTATTGTCTCATTCTAAAATGGCTATGTTTTATGAGTTTTAACTTAAATAGTTTACATTAAGCTGTCAGAAAACATTACCAAAATTAACCATTTCCTCACAACAATCACTTATCAAAACCAAAAATGAAAATAAACTTGAAGCAAATTCAAAACATCAGTTTTTTACTATCCATAAAAAACTGTATAAAATTTTGCTTAATTTTGTGAATATAGTCTCTTATTAAGTAACAATAAAAACAAAATCCAGTTGTACTACAGGAGTGTTTCTAAGTACAAATTAAGCCCAATTAATTACTTTTAAAACAAAGGCAACACTGATGTAATGTTAACTGGACAATGTTATTGTTTGAATATCATTTGAAAATTATTGTTGGAGTTGCTCTGTGTGATCTAACTACTTTTGATTTTTAATTAACACTAATTTGCTTGTGTCATTAAAAATATTATTATTTTCATGTGTGAGAAAAACTCTTTGAAAAGTAGAGTACAACATTGGTAACTTGAAAAAATATATTCAAAGATTCACACATGAATTTTTCATTTCACCTCCTTGAACCATAAATATTTTTGAACTGTTTTTCATTGTTATAACAAAGACAACTGTTGTCTTCAGTGTAAGAGAGATAAATTTAAAACAGTGAAAAATTATAGATATTGAAGACAAAAAAAAAATACAAATACATTTATTGTATTATGTGTGTGTGTGTGTATATATATATATATATATATATATATATATTATTTAACTACAATTCTCCATGATTTTCTGTATATATGTCTGTGTGTGTGTTATGTCTTGATAATATCAGTCTGGGGAGTTCATTTCCCAGCATGGGACAAGTTGGGTCACTTCAGTTATCATTCTTATCTATATTTTTAAATATTTTTATTACTTACAATTTTTTTCTTATTAGTTATTTTGGTTTCATACTCCTACATCATCTAGCACTTAGGGTTAGTGGTTATTTAGTGATTTATTTGTTCCTCTCACTATATATATATATATATATATATATATATATATATATATATATTTTCTACATAAGTGTGAAAGCTTGTGCGATGTCCTGCCCTTCTCAGTTGCCAATCAGGGGAAGTAACACAGTTTCAGTGGATAAGGCTGTACTGCCACACCTGGTACCATCAGCAGCTTTTGCTACTGAACAGGGTATTGTTTTTTGTGTAGACATGTCAGTCTCAGTGATTTTTTATGCAAATGCATGTCAGATTTTTAACATGGTGTTAAAGGTATTTGCTAGTGATCGTTAAAGAATACACAATGTGCTTATAGCAACTGTTATTGATATGTGTGTGTGTGTGTGTATATATATATATTTTTTTTTTTAAGTGTTTCACCCCAAGCAAGGCGGGAAGCCACTAGGACGCAAAGGGTTACAGAAAATTTGGAGCAAGATCAGATAGGAGTGATAGAAAAAAGGATGAGGAGAAGGGTAGTGGATAGATCAAGGCAACTGGAGATGATGATTGACATTATATTTGAATAGCTGGAGATTATAGCTCTCAGGGAAACTAGAATAGGGAAGGGAGTTCCACAGGTGAGAGGTGCAAGACATGAAGCTATTGGAGTAGAAGAGACGGCTACATTTAGGAGTTTTGACAGTGAAGGGGTGAGATTGAGATGCCAGCCTCGTAGGGTGCTTGAACTCATGAAGTCTGGGAACCAGTGAATGCAGCTCCTCGAAGCAATTGCCATGAAAGTATTTGTAAAACAGACAGAGAGAGGCGACGACGCATCTGTGAGAAAGTGACTGTAGATGAGATGCCAGATCAGGGCCAATTATATTGCATATCTGCCTCTGGAACCTATCAAGAACCCTGAGGTAAACAGAAGGGGCTCCAGACCATATATGGCAGCAATACTTCATGCAAGGGCAAATTGTTGATTTGTAGATCTGGAGGATCGATTCCGGGGAGAAAAATTTCCTGGCGCGGCACAGGGAGCCAACTTTCCTTGCGGTGGACGAAGCAATTGACTCAATGTATTTGTTCCATCTCAGGTCAGCCATCAACGTGAGATCAAGCAGCCGCAGAGAGTTGCTCTCGAGAAGTTGAGCATCAGACATTCTAACGGAAGGCAGGGAAGGATACATATATATACACACACATGTAAAATGAGAACAAATAGAGTCAAATTCCAATATTCATAACATTCAATTTATATATATATATATATATATATATATATATATATATATTATTACATATAACAGACAATGAATGTATATTATGTCTGATCATGTGCCGTTCTAATGTTCATATGTTTGCTTTAATTTCGGGTGAAAATAAAGACAAAAATTGTCCAACATTTGGATATGTTTTTATTAAGTTGGTTCTTGATCTAAGCTTTCAGCTCATATGAGCCATCTTCAGATATGAAGTGCCACTAGTATGCAGGGGGTTACAGAGATTGAAGTGAGAGAAAAGAATGGTTATAGGGCGGATTGAGGAAAGTATAAAAGATGAACTGGGTTCAAGGTAACAGAAGATGGCAATTGACATTGCATTTAAATTTTTGAATATTGTAGTTATCAGGGGAGGAAGTGAGTTCCACTGTCAGGAAGTGTGAGAAAAAAAAATGTTGGAGTAGCAGTGGCAGTTACATTTAACTAGTTCAACAGTAAAAGGGTAGGACCTAGATACCAATCTAGTAGCATGTTTAAATTCATGTAGTCTGGGTACTATGGAAAAAAACTTGTCAGAGCAGCTGCCATGAAATGAATATATATATATATATATATATATATATATAGTGGCAATAAAGTCACTATACAGCTACTTACAATTAAGACAAAGAAATTAATCAACAGTCCAGAAATTTATTATTAAAATAGTTCTTGTTAATTCTGGTTAATAACAATAAAATGCTATGGTAAACAATAGTAAATAAAGTACTGATACTGTTTGAACTGCCATCCATCTGCTTCCATGCTTTGCTTTTTTATTATAAGTAACTGTGTAGTAACTTTATTGCCACCCTATATATATATATATATATATATATATAACAATTCATAATATAAACATTAACTAAAAATTCTTGAAGCTATCTATATTAAAAGATTGAAACCAGGCCTTAATAAAATTAATTATGAATACTGCGCAAATGTTTTTAAATGCTTA